AATTTTCAACTTCTTCCTTAATTCCTTGCATTGAAATTAGCACTTTATGAATTTGTCTTTCCAGTTATACTGTGTAGATTAATTCTTCCTCTTGGAATTTGTGGGGACTTTAAAATGCAATAGTATGCAGCTAATAGTGTGATATATGTACTTGAATACCAATAGAAGTGTTTTAAAATGTCATGTATTGCAAATTATCAGTGATGTTGTGAAAGCTACTTTTTGGTCATATTTTTATACTTAAAATCTCTGGAAATTCTCATATTCATTTGTCAGATACAATGGTGACAATATAAATCCTCTACTCTAGCCTCTGAATTTCAAAAGAAGAGTGGTCTCTGTCTTGAACTACGATGTGTATATGTTCTCTGTTAGTAATAGGTTTCTTTATTAAGGTTCCATTTGGGAACTTTGTAGGAGAAATCCTTACTCTCTGACCATACCATATTTTTTAAAAAATGGTATGAATCCTCTTTTCTTCATTGTAAATTTTTTTGGTGTCCATGTTCAATTAAAATGCTGCCTTTTACTGGATGCAATATTTTTTATCTTCCTGTTGCATTGTAATTAGTTAAATTATTTTTTATCTGTATTTTAGGGAAGGATCTACAGGGTGTTCAAAGTCTCACCACTAGATCGGACTCATAGTGATCCGCCTGTTTACAGCCTCCCAAGTGCTGTGATTACAGGCATGCACCACCACGTCCAGTCTCAGTCACAGTCTCATTGCCCCCTGGGGCGAGGCCAGCAGGGCAGGCCCGGGGATTCAAACCCAGGCCCCTGCATGTGCTGGCAGGCACTTTAATCCGCTGAGCTATTTGGCTGATCCTGCATTAGTTACATTAAAAAGAAGAGATTCATGATCAAAATTTTTGACAGTATTAAATAGTAAAGTAAATTAAATTTTTAATTTTTAATAGTGAAGCTTTAAAACAGGTTAGGTATACAAAATTCCACAAATATTGGATATGGCTTCTCTTCATTATAGAAAATCACATTACTTTTTTTTACTTTATATTTTAAAATAAATTTTAAAATTAATTCTTATGGACATGAAAAGCAAATCTGATTTATCGTATGATCTAAACTGAAGAGTACTAAGTTAACTATAGTCTTGTGTAGTAGCTAAGAGAATAATCGGCATTTTAACTGAATTTTTAAAGATTATTTTGTAAATATGTTCAGCTCATTTTTAACAGGAATATACTTTTTGGCAAACATTTCTAATGTCTAATATTGTGCAACTATTTAGTCAAAGCTCAGTATAGAAAACTCAACATGCATCTTCTGTATTCATCTATTTCAAAACTGTTTTAATGAGTATAAATCATTGTAAAGATTTAATTTTAATTTTAAGATGCCTGTACTGAAGTAGTATGCGGCTGAGGCCCTCTAGTGTCGGCTGAATATAGCCTATTTTAAAAAAAAACAATTTTGTTATTTCATTAGCACATTTACAGCATGTGGCTACATTCCTGTGTGCAGTTGGTACAAGTACATAGCACATCTCTTTTTATTCCCTTTCCCAGCCCTCCCTGTCTTTACCTCCATTTATTGGTTCCCTTCCCATTTGAGAAAATCTAGCTCTTTACTTCCTATCATCTGTCTTTTATTTTGACCTTTATTTATACTTTGGGTTTCTCATATAAGAGAAACTGTGATATTTGTGTGTCTGATTTATTTCACTGAACATTATGCTCTCAGTTTTAAGATAATGGGGAAGAATGTGATTATACAATGAAAGCACAAGAAAAATACAAGAGGTCATGTTAGAGTTGACATGTAGAACCACATGAGCTCGTAAAACTAGATTTATTTGTTAATTAATCCCAAGGAAAGTTTATTCCTCAGAGGAAGGTGTTTACACTTTTTTCATATGCACCTATTCATTTATATATTATGCTTTCATACAAAGTCCTTATATCTACAACTACTGATAGGTGATAAATGAAATTTGTTTGGAAGTTTGGAATCTTGCTATTGTTATAGTTGGTTTATTTTTTGAAGTTGTTTATGAAAATTCTGTTCACCCCAAATTGTGCTCATTTTGTATATTTCTGTTTGCTCAAAATTGGCTGATGTGTAAATTTGTATGTGGATAACTTGCAAATCAGTTGAAATACTACTCTTCATAAAGAGTAACCATTGCTTCTTTTTTTGATACATATAGGAAATGACAGTTTATTTTCTTCAAAATATAATAATTCACAACCAAGAATTGGATTATTACCCATTTAAGGAAAGGATTGACTTTGAAGGAAACAGATCCTGGTGGTTGAGGCAGGGAGAACTGATAATAATCCCTTTCTGTTTCCAGAATTAAAATAATTCTATTTTCAGTGCTCCCAACCCTAACCCTAATTCCTAAGTAATGGAATAGACAGGGCTTGGAGCGTGCTGATAGGAAGTAAAACAAAAATGTTATTTAGAAAATAGTTCTCAATTTCATCTGCCCACTAAAATCCCAATTTAAATATCTTTTCTTTGTTAAGATTGCTGTGTTTATGAACAGGTGAATCTTCAGATTAAAAGATTACACCTAGAACAGCGATGGGGAACCATCTAGATTTAAACAGCCTGCTGTGGCTACCATGGCCCTAGACCACATGAGGCTGAAGTTTTATAACTCTAAGGTTAAAGTAAAAAAGTATCTCAAGTATTCCCAGGAGGAATAATAGTTATCTGGAGCAAAACTGGATTCAGACTTCAAAACTGCTATTTGATTTCTCACTGGGAGTAAAGAATGCTATGAGACAATAGATTGTCTTTCCAAGTTTAAAGATTAAAACCAAGGTTTTTCTGACTTGCCCTGCTCTTCAAGTCATTCTGATTTTATGAAAAGTTCTCTAATATTCTGTAGTTTAGTATTAGAACTAAGTAAAGAAAATATCCAGTACAGAATTTGTGCTAGATGATGTTCTTCATTAATAAAGCATAATGAAAGTATAGTAAGCATTAAATCCTGATTGCCTATACCTTTTCTCAAACTGTTTTGAAAGGTACACATGAAGTGGCCTAGGATTATAGTTCCTTCTCTGCTTAGCTTTATATTTATTAATTGTTGTATGGTAATGTAGGAGTCACTTCTCATCTTTCTTAAAGTAGACACCAAAGGGTTGATAATAGCCTATGAGGTCTCCCACAGCCAAACTGCTTGCTGCCTTTCCAAGCTCATCTCCTCCTGCTACGCCTTTTCTTCATTCTGCTGCACAGATAGAGGCTGCTATTTTCTTGAACCTGCCGAATATTCTGCCAATTTGGGATGTACGTGCTCAGTGGTCGGCCTACATCAGTCATATCCCAAAGAGCTTTCTTGCTTCATGTAGACATCTACAACAGTCATGGCTTCTCCATGGAGCCCCTTCTTGGACCCTTTGTGGATCTTTCCTACCTTGATTTTTCCTTGGCACTAATGACTATATATATCTTCTTTGTACTTGTTTAGCCTTCATGAAAGGAATGTTCATCTTTTATACCTCTTATAAAGTTTCATAATGTTAATAATCAGAAGCTGGAGAAAAAAGATAAAGTCTATAAACATATGTTGACTATAATCTTCCATTGTTAAGAATTAAATTAAATAAGAATATTAAATAAAACTCTAACCACCAGAAGAATCAAAAACAGAAACTGTGAAAGATGGATAATCAGATGAGGATGAGAAAAGAGATGGAGATTTATTTTTTTTATCTCTGATTATTATGATTTTAATTTAGGGAATAGTCAAGTTGCAAAAGGTTTTTTTTATGATTTGTTTAACTCCATTTTTTAAGTTCATTGTGATCTAATTTATATATTTTAAGTTTTTACCCTTTTTTAGTGTATGCTTAAATGACTTTGATAAACTATAGTATATAGTTCTATAGTTATAGTCCTATAACTATCATCAAAATATAGCAATAGAATAAACAATTCTATCACTTCACAGAATTTTCTGACCCTTGTAGTTCACCTTCCTCCATCCTTTTAACCTATGTCTCATAGTATAATTGAGTCAGAATTTTTATTAAAGCTGACAAACACTGTCTTTTAATGGGTGAATTTAGACCTCTTTCATTTAATATAATGATGTGTTGCATTAAAAGCTTTTAGTTTTTTATTCTGTTATTTTCCCTTTATTCTGCCTATATGAAGTATTTTTATAACAACATCTTATTTTTATTATTGGCTACCTATAGTTCTTTCTAAAATGTTTGATTGTTACCTGCAGAGTCTAAATTTTTAAAAATCAAATAATGGACAGAAAAATATCTTTACCAAAATGTTAATATTGCTACTTAGAGAGATTGGCTTTGAAGGCATCTCCCCTGATTTTCTGTATCTTATTCCTAACTTTACATGAATTATTTTTGTCGTTATTAAAATACTATGGGAGGAACCACTAGAGAGATGGCTAGAGAAAAGGAAAACTGGGTATGTGTGGAAGGTTACTTCAGGTGGGCAAGACAAGAATTAAAGAGGCGTGGTTAGTAAACCACAACTTCCTGAAGGTTGCTTTATGAGCTGTTGTGGAAACGAAGCTTATTTTATACCATATATTGCATATATAATATACCATAAAATATATTGTACCTGTTTTTAGATGATAAGTGTGCTTTTTTGAGCCAAATAAATGTTCTTTATTGACTTGGTCCCACCATATATTAATTTCTGAGAAGAGTAAATAGCACTATTAAAGTGGCCTTTAAGCACTTGTATGATTCTTTTATCACATCATTTCCGTCTTTGTTTACTCTGTAAGGGGTGTGTGTGTGTGTGTGTGTGTGTGTGTGTGTGATGTCTATTTTCTTCTAGTCAGAATTGACTGTCATCAAATTTGTACAAGTAGGTTTTTCAGAAAATATATAATTTCCATTTTCTCTGAATGGAGGAGGTGCAATAAAAATACACTGAATGTTTTCACTAGGTTTCATTTTGCTTCTTTTTTTTTTCATTTTACTTCTTTAGGAAGCTTCTGTATCTGCTTTGTAATTGATCCTTGAATTTTTTTTTTTTTGTAGCTATTCAAAGGTCTTGTGCATAGCATTTGAAGTACTTCAGGGTTTGCAGTATATGAATAAACATGGCATAGTGCACCGGGCACTGTCTCCTCATAATGTCCTGTTGGATCGAAAGGTAATTGTCAAATATGTAATATCATAGATATTTGTATGTTGCTTGAAATTTAAAGCAATTCAAATGGGGCTTATTCAATCAGAAAGACCATCAAATAAAAACATTTTTGAGAATATTTGTGGAAAAGACTTTGAATGTGATATATTTGTGGTGTTGCAAGACAGTGTTTAAGTTACTTAAATCTTTCATGTGGGTAATTCTTTTTTATCCCAAAGTTCATTTTTTAACTTCATGTTTTATTTTTCCTTTCTCTTTTTTCTAAATAATACATGGTAGCTTTCCAAGCTACTCCTCTGAACTTTTTTTTAAATTTGTATGTATGTAATACAGGGTCTCACTGCACAGTTCAGACTCATAATGATCCTCCTATTTTCAGCGTCCCCAGCACTGGGGATTACAGGTGTACACCACCACATCCAGTCTCCGTCACCTGTTCAGCACACCCAGGAGCAGGGCTGGTGCAGCATGTGGTGACTGGGATCAATCCCTGGTCCTTACACTTGCCAAGCAGACACTTAGACCACTGAGTTATCTCACTGACCCTCCTCTGAACTTTTAAGGAAGCTGTTCTAACCTTCCACGTACGAATATCATTCTTTCTGTAAATGCAACTGCATTGAGTTTTCCTGTTATTTTCCTTTTTTCCTTCTTTCCTCTTTCATTTATCTGTTTAGCGGCTGTTCATAATCATCTCCTGTTGTTTGGATTGCTGTTTTTCTAGTTCAAGTTTTATAGAGGATACATAAACTAGTAAGCCCTTCTAAGAGAATTATACATATGAAGAGGTACATTGTCAATAATCATTTTTTTTTTAGCATGTTAAAAACAGCTTTGAGTGCCAGCCAAATAGCTCAGCAGATTAAAGTGCCTGCAAGCAGGCGCAGGGGCCAGGGCTTTGATCCCTGGACCTGCCATGCCAGCCCCATTCCTGGGGCGGGCTGAGATGGCATTTGAGACTGGGCATGGTGGCACATGCCTGTAGTCCCAGCTCTTGGGAGACTGTAAGCAGGCAGATCAATACAAGTCCAATCTATTAGTGAGACCGTAAATACCTTGTAGAACCTTCCCTAAAATACAAAAAAAAAAAAAACCTCACCCCACTAATACCAGCAACAGACAATGAACCAATTACAAACTAGAGATTCAGCCTCCTCAGAAAAGCCCATCCTCCTTGACTGTTTGAGGATTTGGGGAAACATCTAGCCACAAACCATAACAAGACCTATCCCATTTTATCTGAGCTCTTTAGTGATTTGACTCAAATTTTAATACACAGTTATATTGTGAGAATGAGGTGTTAAGCATTAACACTGAAAATAATTAGTTCATTTAATTGTTCTTTGAAGACTTGTTTCTCCATGGAAATTATCTTCAATTTAATTGTTCTCTGAAAATTCTAGTTTCAACATCTCTATGATGAATGTTAAAAATCATTAGGAAAATGATTATCATTAATTTCAGATCTATGACAGAAAAGTGTTGTTGCCACAACCAACCTAAATTGTTTCAGAATATAAATGTTTTATAATTATGGGAATTTTTAAGTTCTTGTTACAAAAAAAATGGATTTCTAAATTGACTCTCAAAAAACATTAAAATATCCACAAATGGAAAACCATAAGATGTGTAAAATCTATCCTTTTATTTAGTACCTCACACTTCTTATAGTTATTCTGAAATGGTGTAAGAGTTATTGGAAATCTGATATATTTACTGAATTTTGATGACTTTTGAGCTGAACTTTTCAGGTTAAAAATTCCTATGTCACCGTTAAATTATATAACATGATTGGCCTTTCATCTCCCTGAGTAAGAATCCTCTGTAAAAATTAGTATGAAACATTTTAACCAAAGTCTCATTGCAAATGGTAGCATTTTGTCCCTTTCCTTTGTCTAAATACCTAGACAGTATAAACAGCAAAAATATGCATATTTGAAAAATCATGCATGTGGTAGAATAAATGTAAAATAGACTAAACATTGGCAGGTATTTTTGATTAAAACTATGGTGTTTTATAAAATCTTATATGTAATATTTCAATAAAATAGTGTTATATAATGAATGCCTTACTTTTAAAATATAATTGTCCTTATTAAATTAAAATGTTTCACAGTGGTTTTTTGCCTTTATTATTGTAGGGGCATGTTAAATTGGCTAAATTTGGACTTTATCACATGACAGCTTACGGTGATGATGTTGATTTCCCAATAGGGTAAGATATGTTTTCTTCTATCTTAGTTCTGCTTTCAAATATATGATCTTTAATAAACATATATTTTGTTAATATTTTGATAGTTGTTTTGAAATGAAAGAAGCTTTTCCTTAAAATTTGTCTTTTTTTTTTCATACATCTATTAAAATGTAGACAAGAGTTTTTCCCAGTGTTCCAAAGATCTCTGTTGTTTTGTTCAGCTGACAAAAAGGATAACAGGTGATTGATTATCACTTCCTAATTGTAGTTCACGTAGAATTACAGTGAGCTTCAGACAAGATTAACCACATTCTAAATTAATGGTAGCACATGCACCAAGAGACAAAAACATACCAGTCATGCATTATTTTCAGTGTTAATGCTTAACTCCTCATTCCCACAATATAACTGTATATTAAAATTTGAATTGAATCACTAAAAAGCTCAGATAAAATGGATAGGTCTTGTTATGGTTTGTGGCTAGATGTTCCCCCAAATCCTCAAACAGTCAAGGAGGATGGGCTTTTCTGAGGAGACTGAATCTCTAGTTTGTAATTGATTCATTATCTGTTGCTGGTATTAGTGGGGTGAGTGTGACAGCCGCCATTAGGTAGGTAGCCTGTATTCAATATAAGTGATGAAAAAGAGGCTTGCAACCCCCTCTTGCTCTTGTTGCTTTTGATATCTTCCATCTCCATGAATGGTTGCCCCTGTGTCATTCCCCCCTGCCTTCGAGCCAGCTGATTATGGACTTAAGACCTCCACCAAGCGTGAGCTACATAAACTTTGCCTTCCTTAATTTAGGGTGTCAGGTATTTTGTTTCAGCATCAAAAGCAAAGTATCTCTGGCAGATGGACATTTGTGTTTCAAGAGCTTACTTCTGATGTGGAGTTTCTGATTTGTGGTGTCCTCCAGGAAGGAGTGGAAGCTCATTCCATGTTTTGCTGAGATGGATGATGGTGATAGAAACTTTTGAATTATATTTATTATGTGGTTGCTTCTAACAGTTTTGTAACAGAATTATCCTTTTTGAATATATAAATTGTGATTATTTTAGATACATAGATGTTAACAAGTAGAACAAGAAATTCCTGTATTTCCTTTCAGATTCCCTCAATACTAATATATTTCACTATGTTTCTTTTACCCTCTGCCATGTATGTGTGTATGTGTGTGTGTGTGTGTGTGTGTATACACACACACACACACACACACACACACACTAAATTTTGGAATCCTTTAATAGGAATTAGCACACCCAGGAACTTTTTATCCCTAAATATAGTCCTTTACTTTATATGATGTAAAATAAGAATTTTTCTTTCATAACCCAGGACAATGATCAACATGAGGACGTGACACTAGGGAGTGTAGCTAAATGGAATGGCACCTACCTGGGAAACGCTGGGCTCAGAGTTCAATTCTTGGTGCTCCCCTAAAAAAAGATTAAAAGATGAAGATATTAAAATGATGCATTACCATTCTCCAACCTGAAGACCTTAATCATATCTTTACAATAGTAGCCTGTTAGTTTTAATAATATTCATTTGTATTTTGCTATTAGGTAGTTTTTTTTGTTTTATTTTATTTTATTTTATTTGCAGAACCAGAGATTGAACTCAGGCCCTTGCCCTTGCCAGGCAAGCACTTATTTTACTGAGCTATCTCTCCGGTCCTGGTTTTTTTTTTTTTAAACAAGTTTCATCACCGCATAACTGAGAGTTGTGACAATGCAGTCATGAAGTGTTTCTGAAGCAGAACACTTTAATAATTGATTTAGATTTAAAAAAAAATATATATATATATATTATATATATAAAAACTTCCCTTTCACTGTTTGAACTTAGATTATAGATTCAGTATCTAAATGTTGCATTAGTGAAGGCATGGATAATACTAGATTTTGTTCTGTGAAGATACATTTATCAAACACCTTCTCTTCTGTCTATTGGATGCACACAAAGGATAAGAGTGTTCTTATCTTCAGGAAGTTTCTTGTTTAGTAGTCTTCTGTTTGGATTCCCTGCTTATGGTATGTAAATTCATAATTCTGTAGTTTTATACATCAAGCTTTTGACATAGGAAACCATTTTTTCATTAGCATTAAAATATTTATAAACATCATTAATAGTTTATTTTAAAAAACCCCTTTGAATTGAATAAAGCCTTAGTCAAGCTTTAACTTTTTGACCTGACTTTCAAAGAGCTGTAGTAAATGTGTTTGCTACTGCCTCTATATTTTGTTTAAATAAATTTGTCTGAGTAACCTCCACCTGGGCGTGGTGGCACATGTCTATGATGCCAGCACAGGGAGGCTGAAGCAGGAGAATTGCTGTGAGTTCCAAGTACATAGCAAGATCCTGTCTCAGGGAAAAAAAAAAAAAAAAAAAAAAAGGAAAAGGAAAAGAAGAAAGAGTAAACTCCAAAATGTAACACAAAACAAAAATTACTTTAAGGTGCTTTAAATCTTAGTAATGAGTACAATAAAGGTGATTTTTCTTAAAGGATTTCAGCATTTTTGAAGAACTACAATTGAATTTCAAATGCATAGGTAGAATAGTCCAAGTTAGCATTTTGTCTGACCTGCTCAGAAGCCTTAGACTCAGAGAATTTTTCCAGAAATTATCCAGGAGCAAAATGTGAAACATTATCCAAGATGAGTAATGATCAAACAGCCTAAAATATGAAAGAAAATATTCATACCAGAAGAAGCTTGCAGTTGACTCAAAAGACAACTATTATAGAATAATAAGTAAAGTGTTGCCATCTGTTTCAAAACACTATAAAGCATTGGAAACTGGGCCCCATCTCACTTAGCCACTAGTGTGATACCTTTTTAAAGCAGCAGAGGACAGCAGTCACCATTTACCTCAGCACTTGCACTCCCAGCAGCATTCTGTTGTCTTGGAGTATGAGAATCTGTGCTGAGGAAGGCAACTTACATTGAAGGACAGTTCAGTTCTAGGGTTTGTTTTTTGTTTGTTTTGTTTGTTTTTTAACTTCTACCTTCAATTAAAAGGAAAACAAAAGTTTTGGGAGCAAGCACTGTTAAGTTTTGCTATAGCAATCTGTGTATTGTTTTGCTTGACTTTTTATGACCTATACTGTCATTATAGATTAGAAGTGCTAAAAATTAGAAATAATAGTTTGCTTTCTAGGTATGTTGTGGTGTTGATGATAAAAAGGACAATATTCTATTTGTATTGGTTCTTTTTTTATGAAATATCCTTACAGATTCACTAACATTTATAGCAGTTTTGTGTTTTTGGCATTATTTTTACGTTACATATGAAGAAAGCAAGATTACATTTGAAATTAAGACAATGTTATAATATCATATCTAGTGTTTTTCTATTAGATATGGTCTGTTTCTAGAGATTTCACACATATACTTAAAAGTTTGATCATCTTAGAGCATAATCTTTTAGAGACAGTTGTTGTTGCAAGATGACATAATTTGATCTAATTAAATTGAAAAATCCAGATATTGGTGTCCATGATTAAATCTGATGGTAAATGAAGGGCATATACTTACATAAGAAGTGGAGTAGAATTCCACACTTTTCTCATTTGTCTTTTGAAGCTGTTTCTTGTCACTTCATTTTAAAGTAGTAGGATACAAATTTATTAATTGCCGGTAGGCCTAATTTTTATTTACTATCTGCTTTTTATGTTGTTGTATCTAAGAAAGTAGTAGCTAGCATTTTAGTAGGAATTATTCTTTTAAAAGCACATGCACACACACATATAACACACATGCATGCACACATTTATAAAAATGAATAAGATATGTGAATGCCTTCTATGATTTTTGTTTTAATCTACATAGTTTAATTTTTTCTGCATGAAATAATATTGTATAAAACATAAATATATTTAATATCATTAAATAGCCTAGGATAAAAAAACAGGCAAAACAAAGACCTTATAACCTAGTCAACCATATTTAGTTATTTCATACAAAAAATATGAATATTTTTGACACAGTTCATAGGAAAAAGGATATGTCATGTTCAATTGTTGGAGTCACTACTAGAAAAGTGCTAATTCTCTTCAACCTTTTCTGTATTTGATCTATTTTCAGTAAAATTTTTATGTGAACAAAAACATGGCAATATAGTTCTAAAATATATATAAAGAACAAACATCTAAAATGAGCTTAGACAGTCCTGCAAATATAATTAAAAGGTAGGAGTGTGGTTTGTGTTTGTGTGTCTTTGTGTCTCTGTGTGTATATGTGTTGTTTTAACAGTTATCAGTAATTATTTACATAAAATTATAGTCTTAAAAATTAATGTTAGGGATATTGTTCAAAGGAAAAGAAATGTGAACCAAGAAGCAAGCACACATATATGTGGTGGTTTTATTCATGGCAGAGGTGGTGTGCTTTATAAGCACAATAGTTGCTTTCCTTGTAGGAGTCCTGAAAGTTTGAAACAGCAGCTGTTGAGTGCTTTGGTGATCAGTGCCAAGTAAAAACAATAAAATTAATTTAAAAAAAAAAGAACAATGAGATTTTAATAGTCTTCCCTGGCCAAAAACATTACGGGTGCATTTCTGAGTTTTCGTTGCTGGGGAGAGGAAGAAAGTAAAAGAAAGCCTACACATGGCTTCATTTTAGATTGTCAATATAAGAAGTCTTACATGAAAAGATTTTTGTGCTGAGTTCCATAAGTCCTGGGGAATTTCTAAACAGAGTAGCCGGGTAGTGTTTGGGGACTCCAGCATAACAACCTACTAGAGAAATGAACAGAAGACTTCTACAGGTATATCACGTAATAGCAAACTACATGCTTCAATTTCATAAACTTTCAAAGAAATACAAATTGAAACTCCAGTGACATATAGATCACACACCTTCTGTTGTCAAGTATAACAAATTTGGTCAAAAAACAAATGTTGTTGAATAACCAATAGAAATTCTCATACACTATGACTCAGTTGTTGAAAAACAACTATGATGGGTATATAGATTGGATTCTTTTGTACCAGGGATCAAACTCAGGACCTTGCGCTTGCCAGGTGGGTGCTTATGCCATTGAGCTATCTCCCTAGCCTGTGTAGATTTATAAAACTTCTTTCAAAAAGTATTTTGCATGATTTAATAAAATTGAAAGTGTATATAAGCTGTGGCTTATGAATTCAGTTCTAAGTTTTTACTTGTTTTGAACCATATGTAGCAATTCCATTTGCATGGAATACACAAAGTATTCCATGAAGCATTGTTTATAATGTAAAATAAATCCCATTAACACTCAAATATATATAGATATATTCATAAAACAAGTAAAATTAATAGTGCATAATTACTTGCAACTATTTAAGTGATTCTTCAAATAAATGTTAATAATAATCACCCTAATTGTCATACTATGTTGAGAAATATGCTTGACTTAACAATTTACAAGAGATGATAAAAATTACAATATTCACATTTTATAAATTTATTACAATAATAGACATATCACATCTGATCTGCTCTCCCTGAAATGCCCTCCCCATTTAAACACTCTTATCATTCTTTCCTCAAACCTTTTTTTCTGAGGCATGCAGATGGAAATGAGATCAAAGAAAAATGAGAGACACAGCAGGACTACTAGTAATAATTTGATGTTCTTCACTTAAAACTCATTCTTGGTACATGTGGCATTCTTTATATCTTATGCATATTTTTGTATTCAGTATTAACACAATTTTTATAAAACACATAATGTTGATGGTATGAAGCAATAAGCACGCTACGTATTGCTTGTGAAATACACATTGATGCCACCTCTCCTAGGGATGGCTGGTAAGACATACTAAAATTTAAAGCGCACATTCCTCATACTTTGTATCGCCAGTTCTAGGAATTCATTCTGCTATTTACACATATATTTGTGGGAAACAGGATATTTATATTTCTTTCAGCATTATTTGTAATAACATAAGAACTGTATAGATGTCTTATCAAAGTACAGTAATATAATTACATTATTAGCAATATTTCAAGAAGAATAGTGATACTATACTTTAAAAGAATGATCTCCAAAATACACAAGGGAAAAACTGTAGCATGGAGCAGTGTGTTTAGTGTTCTATGTGGGGTAGAAGGGTAGTAAACAAGTTTATTAGGATGATGTGTGTATACACCTATAAACAGGATATGCATACATATGTATATATTATGCACATATATGTTAGCTTTGAAATTCCTGCTATTCAGTAATACTGGTTTGAAAAGTAAAATGGTAAAATAATGATTAAGTATTAACAGAGTATAAGTCGTAAGCAGAAAGGAAAAACAACTGGAAACCTACAGAACTGCAGGCAATGGTGATATACTAAAAACTCCAACGAGAACATGGAAGAACCCAGGCTGCAGAGCTAGTACAGTTTTCAAATGATTTGATCCTCCTATGTATTTACCCTGGATATAAAAGACTTTCACCTAGGTTCATGACACTGATAGTAAAAATGCACTGCTGCCTTGTTAGCCATTGTAGCTGATTGTAATTTCTCGTTGTTCTAATGTATCATTCTAGGTATCCATCATACTTGGCACCTGAGGTAATTGCACAAGGAATTTTCAAAACCACTGATCATGTGCCAAGTGAAAAACCATTGCCTTCTGGCCCCAAATCAGATGTTTGGTCTCTTGGGATCATTTTATTTGAGCTTTGTATGGTATGTATACAGAAATATGAAACCAGTAAAAGATGTTTACTGGAATAATTTGGGAGTGGAAAGTTATTTAGTAATAAAGTATTTTGTTGTACAAAGGATATAAGGCTTAATTCTTAGATTGACTTTAAAATCAACATTTTTACTAGTGTAAGATCATTATATTTTATCAAGTATAAATTGTTTTAGAAATAGTACCCTAAATCTGTTATATTTTATTTTATATGTTATATATTCCTAGTTTTTCTCCTCTCTGGTTTACTTTCCTTCTTTTCCTTATATCTCCTGTAAACTCATTTTTCATGAAGCTTTCCCCAGATATCCTATGTGGAAAAGCTATTATTTAAAACAGAGACATTTAAAACACAATACTTTGAAATATGGATGCTTTTATTCCTTGTGGGCCAGTCTAGAGCTGGTAGAATGGACTCTGCTCCATGACATCATCTAGAATCCCGGGCCATTGGGATGGTCGCCCCACTGTTCTCAATATCTGGCTAACAAACACCTCCATATCTTCTCAGGATAGAGGAAAGTAGAGACGTGAAGTGAGTAACACTGCCTTTGAGAAAATGAGATGAATGTTGCAAATAGAAAATTGGTATACTTTTCACTAGAGAAAGTTTACTCATGAGGCCAATTTACTGACAAAGGTGGTCAGGAAATAAAACCTACAGGTGGATATCTAAATATGGAAAGAAGGAGCATGGGTCTGGAGGGTAACTCAGAGCCTTTTGAACCTGCTTCCAACTCACTGTAGGTACCCGCTCTTCTCTCCTTCTACCATAGCATTTGTCACATTTGTCTACTCTGTTTAGACTATGTGGTCTTTTGAGGCAGGATTTTTTAGAAATTTTCCTAATATTATTTTTATCTTCCAAATGATTTTCTAAATAGTTTTATAATTTTAGCTTATTCATTGATCTTTACCATCTCTAAAAATTAAATTAATTTTTTTTTTATTTTGTGCCTAAGAATTTTTATAGTTTACATCTAGTATGTCCCTCAGAAGCCTTGTATTTTGAGAGGTGGAGGTTTGGGAAGGTGATTATATCGTGGGGAGCTATATTCATCAGCAGATTTATCCACTGAAACATTCAAAACTCTGCAGTGTTCCAAGGTGGGGCCTGCTAGAAGATATGGGTCACGAGGGTACAACCTGGAAGGTGAATTTCCCTTTCTGGCTTCTCCTTTTCTCCCATTGCTTCCCAAGAGGTATGAAACACAAGCAGCTTTCCACACCAGACCCTGCCACCATGCCCTTCCTGCCTTGGTCCCAACTGACCATGGACTCTCCTCCTAAAGGAGAGACATGGAGACTGGAGACAAGAAAGTGATTAAGACAAGATCTAATTCAATCGCACACACATAATAGTCATGGAGATGCTTCAGGAGGAAGAGAGAACTAGATTTAAAATCTGTTGCTGCAAGTATAGCTTTGTGACATTTGATAGTATGCTATCCAGCCTTCAGTTATTGTAGCAAACACCTGAGATAATGAATTTATAAAGAAAAAGAGGTTTGTTCTCGGCTCATGGTTAGCATTATTGCTGAGCCTATGGCAAGGCAGTATACCATGATGGAAATGCATGGTAGAGTGAATTTATCCCTTCACGGCTGTAAAGGAAAAGTGAAAGAGGAAGGACTGAGTTTGACTGCCTCCTTCAAGGGCACACACCTGTGAATAGAAAGCCTCCCACTGTGGCAGACCTCTAAGAATGTCTATCATTTCTTAGTAGTGCCGAGATAGGGTCCAAGTTTTTAGCATGGGTGAATCACAGCCCCAGACTGTGGACTGGTACCATCATGAACTGGGCTGTTAAGAAGTGAGCAGCAGACTAGGGAGCAAAGTACCAGTGCATTTACAGTCCCCCTCCATCATGTATTACCACCTGAGCCCCACCTTCTATCACATCAGCCCTGAAATTGGCTTCTCCATAGGAGCACTCATCTGCATCATCCTGAAACCACCCCACATCCATCAAAGGAGAAGGACTCATGAAACCAACCTCAGCCCACTGCTGTACCACATGGGCTTCTGGTAACAATGCAAATCCAAACCATAGCAAGGTGTAACATAAATTTCAAGACCTCACTTCTTCTATAAATAGTATCAGTATCTTTTATTATAAAGTTGTTGGAAAAATTAGATGGTTACAGTGCATATATACAGTACTTAATAGTACAAGTATTGCAAAGCCCATTATCCCTAAATAACAATTTTTTGAATTGTGTTGAAATATTTATGACATGATGTTTGCATATGAGTACAGCATTTTATTTCTTTCTTTTTTTTTTTTTTTTTCTAGGCCTTTCTGTCTTTTTTTTTCCACAATTTTATTGAGAAACAAATAGCAATGAGACAGCTTCAAACCAAATTGGTAGGACAATTTCAATAATTAACACATTGGATACATTCTTCCTAGTGGTTAATTGCGAGTACAGCATTTTCTAAAGGGAAATGCCATATATTGATTGTTCACTGTTTAAACCATCAAACTTGATGATTAATATCATTCTTATTAAAGTCACAGCTAAATTTTAATATGAATATGAAGTATACATAAGTGTAAATATGAACTACTCAGCTCCTTTTAATAATCATCACAGAGACCCAGTCCTAGCCCAGGTCCGGTGAGTGTGCGGAGAGTTTCCTGCTACCCTGCGCCGGCGGGACCAGTCCCAGCCCAGGCGCAGCATGGGCAG